GATTGCACTGGACAAAGCACTGAGTGGGGATAGCAGGGCCCCAGGAAGGGTTTGGAAAAGTCAAACCCCACAGATTGCATTGGGGACAGCACTGAGTGGGGAAAGCCTCACCCTAGGAAGGGTTTGAAAAAGTCAAACGCACTTATTGCATTGGAAAAGCACTGAATAGGGAGACCCTCACCCTAGGAAGGGTTTGAAAAAGTCAAATCCACTGATTGTGTTGGGCAAAGCACTGAGTGGGGTTTGAAATAGAAAACCCCACAGATTGCATTGGAAAAGCACTGAGTGGGACCAGCCTGGCTCTAGGAAGGGCTGGAAAAACTCAACCCCACTGATTGCATGGGACAAAGGACGAGTGGAGATAGCCTGGCCCAAGGAAGGGTTTGGAAAAGTCAAACCCACTGATTGCACTGGAAAAGCAGTGAGTAGACAGACCCTCACCCTAGGAAAGTTTGGAAAAGTCAAACCCCACAGATTGGATGGGACAAAGCACTGAGTGGGGCCAGCCTGGCGCTAGGAATGGTTTGAAAAAGTCAAACCCATTGATTGCATTGGGGACAGCACTGAGTGGGGCTGCCCAGCCCTAGGAAAGGTTTGGAAAAGTCAAACCCACAGATTTCATTGACACAGCCCCTCCTCGTGCAGCTGCAAAGTGCAGGTGATTCCCAGCCTCTCCCAATACCCTCAGCTGCAGGATTCCCTGCATTGGTGCCTTATGAAAAAGATTAAAATCACGGACTCATTGATGTTGGACAAACCTCTGAGATCACCAAGCCCAGCCTTAATTCATATCCTAGGCCAGGAATGTGGGATGAAACAATAAATTCACTCCAGACCAAATGCAAGACCAAGTGATGCCTCAGAGGAAAACAAAGAAGGAAAAGCTCTCATTGCAAAGCTCTGAAGTCCAATCAAAGGTGGTTAAAAAATCCAAGATACAGGTACTTGAGTTTGGCCTTTTGGAAGGAAAGAATATTGCATGGAATAAAGGAAGGTGGGATGCCCTCAGCCACCAAAAGGACAATAAACAGAACATGGTTGGCGGAGCTGCACTACTGCAAACAGACCCAGAACGTGACCCTGCCTTGCCCAAAGTGCCCCTTGAGGCATTTTACCCCTCTGTGTGAACCAAAAAAGCCAATCCTGGTGCATTTTTAAATTTACTTCACATGGGAGCTGAGCCTCCTTCTCCTGTCCCCACTTCCCACTCCTCTCTGCTTCCCATGGAAACTTTGTGCGGTGTGAGGAAGCCCAAGGCCTTGGCTGTGTGTATTTAACTTTGGGCTGCTAAACGAGGGCTAATTAATCTTCATTATGAGTGGCTTTTGAAATGGATGCCTCCACTGAGCGCCCTTCCTGTGCAGCCCCGGTCCAGAGGAGTTTCTGGCGCAGCCTGGAGGACCCTGGGGTCTTCTCATAGCAAAGGCTGCTCAGTATTTGATGGAGAAATGATTAAATAACTCTTCCTACCCCATTCCAGTTGTGTAGGGCAGCTGGCACCAGTCAAACTGTATTTATTTGTTTGCTGGCTAAAGGTGGAAAATGACCAGGCTAACCCAAAAAAATCTGCATTTTTAAATTATAAATTATCCGTATTTCTTCAAAGCAGAAAAGTTTGATTCCACCAAAAGTTTCATTCCCTTATTTTAAAATAAAAGAAATATGAGATCATTTGGCAGGAAAAAAAAAATCTACCTGTTTTAACTCCTGGGGAGTTAGTTTTGGTTATAAATAACCAAAACTTGAGATATTAGTTTAAATAAATGGGGTTTTTAAAAATAATATATAAAAAAAAAATATAACAGGAATTTGCTGTTTGCATCCCAGCAATCTGAGTTAGTTTTAAGAAAACATTTAAACTAAAGGTTTTCTAAGCTACAAGAAACCAAAATTTAATTTATTTTAGCAGTGGCAGTGCAAAGACCTTCAGATCCTGCTTGGTTCAGCAGCCAGAGCCCAAACCCAACCGTGTGGTTGAAGGTTTGGCCTTTTATAAATATTTAAAACATCACAAACCCTAAATGGTGGAAATTCTGATTTCCAGACATTTAATTACTTTGCTTTTTAGCTCCGTTTCCATTGGATAGAAGCACATTAGATCATTGCCCAAAATCTTTATCTGAGGGGCCACATTTGCAAATGTTTCTCCACTACAAACATGCCCTGCATCAACACCCCAAAAAAAGAGGTGATGTGAGGAGAAACCAACCAAATTCAGGGATTTGCTCTTTTTTATTTACTATTTTGACAGAATCAAGGGAGGGAAAAAGAAAGTTAACTTCCTCTCCTCCTCCTCCCAAGCCAGTTTCATTCTTTAATCTCTCCAAAGAATTATTAAATCTTTTAAAGGATCAAACACCGGGATCCTTCACAAAGGTTGTCACAATGAATTCATTTGCAGAGCTTTCATGCCTCCCTCCCCACTGGGCTGAAATAATGTTGAGTATTTTTCCCTGGCTTGCTGCAAAGATCCAGAGGTTGCAGCAAGGACTCCATTCTCCATTTCCCACTTTTTTTAATCCCACCTGGCACTGAAATATCCTCAGGAATTAAAAAAAAAATGCAGGTGGTGGGACCTTGATGTGGGTGTGCTGTCCAAAAATGA